GCGACGGGGGGATAGCAGCGATGGCGGCAGCAGGCGAGATGGCAACGGCGGGGGGCCGGCGGGCGTTCGGAATCTATCTTTGCTCTATGTGTGTGTGTGTGTGTGTGTACTTGAAAGGGCGGCCGCGGCGGAGATGGCCGAGATTGCCTCGGCAACAAGGGATTCGGGCAGGCCAGGACGGCCGTGGTTACTGTCACTGTCTCGAAAACGACGGAGGTCGTCATCATGGTGTTTCGGTTATAGTGATGGTCTTGAAGAAGAAGGCCGCCATAGTGCTGGCGAACAGGACGGGAGTTGAATTGAGTCTCGAAGGCTGTATGTATTTGCTGGCACTGTCACAAAGAGTTTGCGCCTTGACACCGGATTGTTAGGTGGGCAATGATACCAGGATGAGGCTATGAAGCTAAGTATTCAGGACGGTTGATTAAACATCCGGAAATTAGGCCATGCATGATTCCCCAAAATAGGGTGTAATACGATCCCTCCTAGGGTGGGTATCTATCGTCTTTGTGTAGGTAGGTGACTTGCCTCTGTCACAATGTTACATTTTTGTCGGGAGAAGCTGAAACATAATGTCTTTCTTTGGTAAGTTCTTTGTTATACTGAACATTGTTTTATTTATTCAGCATCGTATATAACTATCCCGTCCCGGGTTTCTGTGCTCAGAATCCAAATCTTAATGAACCGTCAACAAAATCAACCACCCCCCTTTCCACCCAAAGCTCCGTCCGGCGCGGTTCAAGTTCAACAAACCACACAGTAAACAAATATCCACCCACTTCCATCCCTTCAACAACAAGCCAAGCCAGTCAATCTCAGTCTTCAACATGTCCGCCAAAGAAAAAGCGTGCTTCTTCAACTGCGCTTCGCAATGCCCATGGGCCAACTGCGAGCACGCCTTCTGCCTCACGAACGAGTCCCGCAGTGAAAAGGACTGGGCGGCGAAAGTCATGACCTCCGACGCGAGGATGACATATGTGGGCAAGCTAGTCCAAGATTTCGGGCGCGCGCGGCTGGACTGCTGGTGCGTCGAGTGTGACAGGAGAGCCGATGCGGGAAAGCCGCGGTTTAATTTTGCGTGTCCCTGTGCGCACTGCTAGATAGTGTTCCCATTCCCGCGGCTGACTCCTTGTGGAGTTCCGAGTCGCCTATCGACTGAGTGTATCAAAGCGGCGTCTAATAGCCTAGAGACGGTTCAGCAGACGACAACGATGGCAACGGGTGACTCTGAGGCTTCTTCTTCTTCCGGCCCGGTGCGGCGGGACGATGAGCAGTTTTTTGATGATGATGGATTGAGGGTTGCGTTTTTAGTGTATTGCCTGGGCGTTCTGGTCGTTTGCTGTGTCGCCATGATCACGAGGTCATAACAGGGGGATGGGCCTCTTGTTAGGTAGGTACGCAGTAACACGGGCAGATTTAAGTGAATCAGAGAGAGATGCGGCCTCTGACCTAATGCCTGATTTGAGCTAGCGGTGCGACTGCTCAGTCTGGATGGGGATTGAATATGATTAGCTAGTTCATGAGCCGGCCAGGGTATTATTGCTTGTTGATTGAGTCATGTTGCCCAGCCCCTCCCCGCAAATTTGTTAGGCGTAGAAAGTATGGTGAGAGTGTGTGTCTAAAATGACTACCCTCTTTTCTAGATTGAGGCCCGTAATTTGAATTTGAACAACGATTTTATATGTCCAATAAGGCCTTTTATTTTAATTATAATGGCAAAGAGACACAATGATTGGGACATAATTTCGATACATGATTGTGAGCGACAATATATGTCCTGGAACCTAATCAAACCTAGGGATCGTCAATCTTGTAGACAAACCTATGATGAGAATTTTCAAAGTGGGAGGTTTGGACATGTTACCTAGCTGAGTTGACGCGCCGGTTCTATTTTTCCTGCCCAATTTGCTATCTCTTAGACCGCAATATACAACCACCTAATCCCGGCTCAGTATTACCAGATCGTCCCGGTTGAGGAGAATGTCAGTTCACTTCTTAGCCAGATCCCAGGCCAAGATGCTCCCACGTCCATTCATTTCCTTCACGCCCATTCTCTACATCCTGAAGGTCACCAAGAGGATTATGAGGGACCTGATCAAAAGTTCCTGCCGGCGCAACACGGCTGAGGTATTCCCCAAACGCCAGAACCGGATCGAGCATCGCGTCCTCGGGGCGGAGCTGGTGCATAGATTGCAGCGTAGCCTGTACCACTGGTTCTTCCTGTGGCAGGGGCGCTGCTGGTCTGGGGATATGCTCGTCTCCTCTTGCATGGCGGGGGGCGAACTCATGGACGCCGGAAGGAGGCGTGCGAACTAGCTCTCTACGAAAGGAGCCAAGAATTTGATCGAAGATTTCACTGACCAGCTGAAGTACATACGCCTCTAACCGACCCTGCTGTTGTTGTCCTTGATCGAGTTCATGGAAGGTGGAAGAATCGTTGGCGAGACGTTGAGGGAGAATTCGCTGGCATTCGAGGACGTAGTGCTGGTGAAATTGGTCTAGGAGTTGCACAAAACCCGTGTTGGAATAATCTAATATCGTTAGTCAAGCTGTGAGATAGCAGACGCCAGTTCAAGTCTATTCCTTACGCTATGGGGGGTAGGAGGCCGGGTCATCACGAGGAAACAGGATGCCGAATATCTGCTGCCAGGTGCGAACCGTTTTCTTCCCGAGCTTCTCCTTCTGGGGGTCTTCGAACCCTTGGGAGGGATTGAACGTTGGTCTCCAGTGCACAAGGTTGCAGGGCTGAACCGACTGGAGGTGCTGACTCAAGGCTTCCCGGCTCTCGAATATCTGCCCGCATCTCAGGCAGGGGTGAATGTGGTGAACACGGTAGAGATGTTCCCTGGTTGTGTGAATCTCGTTAGCATCGCGAGGTAGACTGTGAGGAGTGCTGGAGGGGTCTTCTCATTTTAATCGCGATGTCGTTTCAAACCCAGGTCCCCGGCAAGAGGTGCTAAGTCTGGGGCAATCCAGATCCCTCTGGAAATATGGACAAGCTAATCTGTTCCAGGGATCCGCTGTCCGTTTCTTATGTTGCCTTTCGTCGCCCTCTTCTTCGTCGTCCTCATTGTCCTCCTCTCCCCGCTTGCGTGGCCCGCCTTGGCGCTTTCGTTTGGCAACAGATCTCTCCTTGGCAGCTGCGGAGCGACCATGTACTGCTCCCAACTGCGAACCTGATGCCTGCTCATCTTCTCTCGTTGTGGCTGGATCTTCGCCATCCAAGCAAATGAGCGGACCATGAGGCACTCTCGCTGCAAGACGATGAAGGATGTCGCTGAAGAGAAGTCTCTTATGATGCTGGAGAATGTGATCAAAGAAAGCATGGTAGCTCTGCTGGGTACTAGCGCCGGATGCTGTCCCAATTGCTTTCGGACTATAGGAATTCTCTGTTTGGTTCTGCCGGTTCCCTGCTGGATGTTGGTCGAGGTTCTCGTTGCGAACAAGGAGGGCAAGGCCTTGGCTTGGGTACTGCGAGGGTGGTGCAAGGGGTTGACGAGGTGGCCAGACGCTCGTTGTTTTCAGCATCCCCAAGAGCTCCTGGAATACCATTTCCGTTGGCTTTAAGTAGTCCGGTTTCGGGATATTAATCCCAAAAGCGCCAAAAAGCGCTGCCAATGCAAAGACTCGATCTCTGGGATCGGTGGTGTCAAGCGTGGCGGAGAATTCGAGCATCTTGATAAACTGGCTCGCTAGCACCTTAGCCGAGGTAGGTGCTCCGAACTTCTTGTGATTACTCTCGGATGGGATACCAGCTAACTCTTCCCCGATCAATTTGGTGGAGGACCCGACAGTATAGAATTGGAACGCCGACATGCTGGCTGATGGGAGAGAGGGGCGCCCGCTGAGAATAACAGAACTGATGGTCTCCAGAGCGGCGCGCTCCCAGAATATCTCCCATTCCATCTTCCCGTCGTCTAGCAGCAGAAATAACTCCCTTGCGTAAAGAAGTTCTTGGAAGACCCATACTCGGTGGAAAACTGGTGCTTCTAGATACCTTAGAACGCTGCGGCGAAGATACCTCCCGTTCTTTGGGCGCTGGTCGTCGTTCAGTACGGGAACCTTGACTGACTCACTATGAGGGGGTGTGTGATGATCTCCAAGCCAGACGATCACGCTTCTTGCAGTGCTGAAGATTTGGCGCATCCGTACAACTTGCGAGTTTCGCTCTGAAATGTCGTTTTGGTTGATGCAAACAGCATCGATCCAGAAAAGTCTGCCAGTCGTATCTTCAAGGACCTGGAGATACCGGAGAAACTGGTACAGATTTGCAGTAACAGAGAGGTCTCTACCGTTGCATTGAATGATCCTCGGACTTTCCCGGCTTCCCCAACAATAGGATAGCGCCTCGTAGGAAGGCTTCTCGTCCAGTCGGAAAGTCAGGAGACTGCAGCTTATTGTATCAGAACCGTCTGTCGGCGGGTGAAGCTGCATGAGTCTAAAACCATCCTCCACATCTAATGGCCTGTAGCAAAAGGATCGGTCCATTCTGTTCGTCTCACCTAGGCCCGCTTATACCTTCTTTCAAGTATCCGTGCGGGCGAAAGTCAGACGGGAGGAGTCGCCAAGGCGCGGGGATGGATGAAGTGAAGATCACCTACCTTGCAAGATAAGAGTGGTGCTTTGAAGGTGATCTCGAAAACTTCAACCCTGGAGGAAGTTCGGCACGGTACTGGAGCGATGCCACTCGCAAGTTTGGTTGTCTGGGAGGTAAGCATTGCATCCATCATCAGCCGCCTTCTTAGCTTTATCCCGATTGGCCGAGTTGATGCGGTACCCAGTTGATATCCTCAAAGACCCAATCCCACTTCCAAGATGTAAAACTTTCCAGTCAAAAGTTCACACAACTACCAAAACACACCGTATTCTCTTGCTAGACTCCACAAGTTAGCAAACTGTTCACATATCCACAGCTCCATCCGCACCGAATTTCCTCCAAGTCCCTTCTTATGACTCGCTACAGAACCATTCTCCCTAGTATGAAGAAGAAGAAGCAAACAGAGAAGATGGCCGTGGGGTTAAGGCGCCACGTTAAGGTTCTTCAAGTCTTTGATTCCTGTCTAAATAATAAAAGACTCAGAGTCCGTGGTTCGAAAGAGCGGGGTTCGATTCCCAATCTACTCATCAACATCCGATATTGATCTTTCTGTTCGTTTGTCGTACCGCCGCATTCTTCTTTTCTTTTAGTTAATTAAGCAAGATAAAATTAAATGAAGAGTATGCATAATTCAAGTTCAAGCCGGGATCTTGTATTTCGGCAATTAGTATTTATTTACTTTTCTCTTTTTTTTGGGCTCTCGATTCTTAGTCCCCATAGAGTGGCATAATCAAAGTTCAAGGCTGCTTCTGATCATATGTTCCGGGTTGTTAATTCTTCTCAATCCCAGAAAGTCAATTTTATATGAAAGCCTTTTGCAAAACTCAAGTACCCTGGTAGGTTCACCTCATAAATTCCGGCTACCTACTCGATCTTGCCGTCGACAATCGACCCTTTACAAAGCACCCAGCTACTTATGTTACAAAGACGGGCATTTTTCAGCGATTTCATTCCATTTAGACAATGCTACCGGTATGTGTTCAAGGCTTAATATCCGTCGTATACTGGTTTGTAGGCGGTACATTCATCGGCCTACTCGTTGGATTCATATGGGGCGTGGTAGAAGCCTCACCCTGTTCGCTGCCTTCAAAGATGAGGATCCCACATTCGAACCACCAGTAGGGTGGACCGCGCACTATCCCGTTTCCCCGATATCGCTGTGCCAATGTACCACGGACCCGGCCACAGTGGCCGAGGTGGCAAATATGGACCCTCTGGTCGCAAACACCTTTCACAAAATGGCGTGCGTTCCCCTACTGCTCTTACCCGACGAGCTGCTCCTAAAAATCATCAAACTCGTGGACCATCCCGATGTCCATTGTCTGCGCCGTACTAGCCGGGCATTCCTTCGATTGTATTCGTATTGGGAATTTGCAGCAGACCATCGGGACCCCAGGAATCTATATCCTGTGGCCTGGACTCCCTGGGCCCGACCAACGGTTCAAGTATTACTGGAGTTTGCGAACTTGACGACGCTAAAGCGTCCTAACTTGGGGCCTCAAGACGTAAGGGTGTGGGGCAGGGACTTCATTTCGAGAATGATCAAGTCAGGGCTCGGCAAACTATGTACCCACTTCCGGGGAGCACGGTCAACGGAGATATGGGAAAAGAGCATCAAAAGACTGACCAAGGAGCTCCTCTACTGCTCGGGGTGCGGCTGCCACCACCCAAAGATTCTTTTCTCGCCCAGCCACCGGCGGCGCTTCAACTGGCCATGGACTCGAGTTTGTATTGGACGCGAAGGATATATACGGCTATGCGAGCACAAGACTTTGGACTGGAATACAGTGGCTGCAGCCGGAAAATGTTTAACATCTCGGGAGCGCCAGGAGAATGCCAAGGTGATGCTTCTGGAGTGCAAGCACAAGAGCCATCATCCGAAGCAAATCAGGAAGCACTCGGCGAAGCTTGTTGACCAGTTTCTCAGCCCTTCGATTTCGATTGGTCCAGGGCGCTACAGCAATGAGATAGAGATTTGCATCAGCTGGGCTGGCCATACCACCTTTTTGCCAGACCGCCGCTTAGAAGAGGGGACCGGAGAGCGCCGACTGTTCCCGCAAGTTGTGACAGAGCCCACGAAGCCGGTGTGTAATAGCCATCGTTCGTTCATCGGCTCCGGGATAGCGAAAGAAGACTGGGGTAGGGTGATATCTGAAATACGATTTGAGTCTTGCCTGGGGGTGGACCTTGCGTTAAGGTTGAATACACTCGTACCGTGAGTGTAGGGAGGAGACCCTACAATGATTTCAAGATGTGACGCCGGCTTGGTTTCGGAGTCTCGACCCCAACTCTTTCAACATAACCGACGACAATGAGACCTTCGGCATCTGTGGTGTCGCCAACCGGGGTGCATGAACTATTATCGGTACTTGAGAGGTTTCCTTATTCCACAGAGGAGTTTCAGCTGCGAAAGTGATTGATCATCTCGCTAGCCGAGAGCTGAAGGATACAGTTGTACAGTGTCTCCATAAATCGATGCCGCAGAAATGAGAGTCGAAGGAACCTCGAGAATTTGGGAGCGTAACGGCGGCATTTGATGTGAAGGGCTGAGAGCGACTTCCCACGGAGTGGTGGGACAAAAGGTGATTTGAGAAGATGATATGCGTGTGTGAGGTCGGCGGCCTGCGTCGTTGTTTGCTTACTTTGAGAAGTAGCTTCAAAGTAGTTATGCAGCCGGTAGGGCGAACATCATTCAATGATGACTTTTGGGGATAACACCTGGGGTAATCTATATAAGTCAGCAGCCGTTTTAATAAGAAGTTAGGCATAGCACATAACGCATTGCTTACAATGGCCATCGAGAGATGACAGTTCTCGCGATCCGCTGTCGTTCATTTCGCCAGGTGATACACTGGTGAAGCTATGTCCGGAAGGGCGGTGAGCCAAATGGTGTCTCCCATCATATCCCCGCATGTTGGTTGTGTTGGAAACGGAAGGCAGCTAAGCCAAGCGGGAAATGAAAACTCGACATACCTGAACAGTTTTGGTTGTGCAGAAAGAGCTGAGAGTAACGACGAATCGGAATGAATGCGTTTGACCGAGGTATGTAAATAGGGAGTAAGGCAAAAAATTGAAGAAACTAAAGTTGACCAAGGTCCAAGAATGAAAAGACGATGGCATTCATTTGCGGCACACACACAACACACACACAGAGGGGAAGTACACACCATGAATTTGTCGAGCCATCGTATTGTGGTGTCGAGCCGCCGTATTGTCGAACTACCGTATTGTCGAGCCACCATGTTAACGAGCTAACATGTTGCTATGCCATCATGTTGTTAAGCCACCGTGCTCGTCGCCGAGCCGCCGTGCTGTAGAGCCACCGTGCCCGTTGTTGAGTCGCTGTGTTCCTGAAGCCATCGGAATGGTGTTGCCGAGCCGACGAGTCCTCTGTGTGTTGTCAGCTCGCTCTGCCGCCAGTGATATGGCTTGAAATTCCTCTTATAAAGTCAGCTTAAAGGGTTGCAGTGAATGATTTATCAAGACCTAGTATTACCCTTAGATCACCCCGACCCAGCCACAGATGCTCGAAACCTGAGTGTCAAAACGGTCAAATGAGACATACCGGATAGTTTTGACTCCTCCTCCTCGTCGTCGTTGAGGCTCCAGAGCAGGACCCAAACGCCTTCGTGTGCCAGAAAGAGTACTCCAAGTCTAGAGAACGACGTCTCCGGTCGGGACAGCCAGGCATCAATAGATGACCAGCAAGTCTGTTGACTGTTCTCTGATGCCAATACCGAGTGAAGGACTTCTGAGCGAGGGTTGACGGGTTTGCGGCACTGCTGCATTGCTTATTGCTGCTGCCTTGGAACAGACGACTCGTAGGGATCTGGGACAACGTGAGCATGATAGTTGGAAAGCCATGAGTTTGTGCACTTATATCTTTCCAAGCATCAACTTCTAAAGTGGACAGAAGGCTTCTTCTGAATTCGTGCCTGGCGGGATGGAGATGGCTCAGAGAAAATGGAAGCGAAAATAATTACAACGACCGCCAGAAAGATATGGGAACGAGAGTTGATGGAGTTGAGAGACTGGTGATGGGTGCGAAGGCTGGAGATTTCTGGGAGAGATGGATGAAAATGGGAAAGGTTCAGAACTACGTTCACCGGTCGAACCACAGTCGTTTCCGCGAGGATCAGGTGGAGCTGTGACTGGCAAATATCCATGCTTTGCTGCCGCTCTTTCTCCCTTTGACAGTAATGCGGATGGGAAACCGGAAAGAACATGGGTAGTTTCTTCAAAACTTCTACAACGTAGCTTCCGGATTTCCTTCACTCTCATGCATCAAGTTCTTCCCAAACGCACGTCGACGACCTGCCCTTGCTTTGGATCACCGATGCCCTTTCCATGCCAAGCAATAACCATGCCATGGAAATTGGACGCCTTGAAAAATATATGAAGATCCTGAGTTCCGCAATTCTTTGAACTTCTCCAGGCACACACACACTAACATACACACACTCACATAGCACAGATTCAAAGCCACCCGCCAGCCGTCACCATGCCCGTTCCCCTCGAGACCGCCGCCGCCACCCTCACCCTCTGTCCCGCCGCCTCCCCTACCACCATCGCCAAGACTGTCGCCGCCTCTGCCGCCATAACCTCCTCCATCACCACCGTCATCACCGCCACCACTACCATCGTCTCCCACGCCTCGCCGGCCGACGACCAGGCGTGGGCCGCTGCCGCCGAAGCCATCAGCTCGGTGGCTGCGGCCATCAACTCCACCACCACCACCACCACCTCGTGGCCATTGCCGCGGCGGTGGGTGCTTGGCACCCCGCAATTGGCTGGTTCCTCTCCGTGGTTGGGCTCTGGCTTTTGGGCCTGTGTTGTGTGGGGGGCTGGAAGGCCAAGAAGGAAAAGAAGATGAAGTGGCTGGTGGTTTGGGTCGAGAAGGAGGAGGAGGAGAAGGAGGAGGAGGAGGAAAAGGAGGAGGAGGAGAAGGAGGAGGAGGAGGAGAAAGAGGAGGAGGAGGAGAAGGAGAAAGAGGAGGAAGAAGAGAAGGAGGAGGAAAAGGAGGAGCTTGCTGCTGCCTCTCTTTCCAGCCCCTGCTGCTCCCGCTACTCCAGAAAGTTAATTTATATATATCCCATCATGCTGCCTTTAGGGCTTTTTGGAGTTTTTGGTAGATTAAAGCATTTTTAGCATTCCATTCTTAGCAATCTCAAACCGGTTGCGGCGACATCTTTTTGGTCATATTCGATGGACCAGTCCATTCTCTGTGCGGCCTCAGTCTTGCCTCTCTCGTCAGCTAACCTCCAGACTTGTCAACTTGTGTAGTCCGGGACTCCGGGGGAGAGAAATGGCTGTTTGGAGGTTCTCTGGAGTTTGACTACGTGCTTGTTTAGCTTGGAAGTAGTGGTTAGCTCTTTGAGTGGTCACGGCAAATTTCGAAGCCCACCCCCCCCCCCCCCCCCCCCCCCACCAAGAGATGACAATTCTGCCCTGTCGTGGTCAATATCTACACGGCCACCAGATTGCTGCCGCCGCCGCCGCTTCTGGGCATGACTGTGCCATTGAATTG